GACATCGCGGTTGGAATTATCAAAGGTTTTTGACACCTGAGAGACACCGTAGCAACTCCTTTGTGTTTGGAAGCAGGGGGTGGGGGTGGGGGGAGGACCAGGGAGGATGATTCAACCACTAGATGTCACTGRAAATAAATCCTACACACTGTGCCTTTAAAACATTGTCCTATTGTTGTGTTTAAGTTTCCTGCCCAGAGGAACAACACTAACAATATAATGATGAATTAGTTTTTACGGACAAAAGTAGCTTCAACATTTATTTTAAGCTGTGTAGCTCTTGTTTTTACCCTTCAGGAGTTAAAACAAAAAGTTGAATTGATTGACCTTGTTTTGAAATGTTTGGAAAAAAAAGCATCAGTCTGTAAATAAACACCAGCCTCTTGTTAAAATTCAGAGAGCAACATCTCGAGGAAAAAGTTGTGTCCTTGACATTGTCTTCAAGAAAACATTTTCCCTCATTCTTTTACTGAATATAATCCTCAGAGGACACACCTATTTCAGAAACATTAAACACACCTAAATAAAATATGTTTTCCTTATCAGAGCGTGGATGAGAAAACTCTACAGGACTATGGAAGCAAGTCCACTGAAGTCCAAAAATCTCATCCGCAGCTCTGAAAACATATAAGACACTCGACATAAACTACTTTACAACAATCAAAGCGAAGCACAATCTGAGGTAAAATAAAAATAAAAATAAAAATCAATGCTCGACGTAACCAGACCTTCAGCCAAAGATTTATAAAAATCAAGCAAAATTGAAAACTACACCTGAGTTGGAGGCTACAAACTGACAATTAACAGAAACAGTGAGTGTATTTGTGGTTCTGAAGTTTAAGTTGGAGCTTTGCACGTTTGTTAAGAACTTTGCTCAGATTTTCAATTTTCACATCAAAATGACCGAGGTGGGTGGGTTGTGCCCTCGCTCGTTGGCCTCCCAGCCTGAGGGGGAGAAGTGTTGGTGAATAAAAAGGATGAGGCTGCAGTCAAAGGTTTGTAAGTGTTGTTTGATGTTGGTAGTTGGGAAGTGGTAAAAAGCAAAAATAAAAATAAAAAATAAAATAAGAGTTCACCACATGAGCAGCTGGTTGCTCCTGGTGATCTAACAGCAGTGTGAGCTCTATGAGCTGCTGTAAGATGTGGATGAATTTCTGCTCATTTTCCGTTCGTAGTTTACCAACCGCTGTCCAACCAGGTATCTGTAAAATAAGAAAATTAAATCTTTAATAAACTGCTTTAAAATCTTCCATCTTAAGTCTAAAAGATCAAATTTGTCTAAAATTTTTTCTTCTTTTATTCAGCTCTGATCTTTGCTTGTGACGTTCATCAAAATGTCACTTCTCACACCCACAACCTGAGTGAAGTTTCTCCGAACACACACTGATCTCACTGCCTTCAAGTTCAAGTTGGCACAAAAGATTTCAGAGTCTACTAACTTGTCATTTTTGATGTGTTCGTAGAGGCGTTTGAACTGTCGAATCTGAAAGGACAGTACGGCCAACAGTATGACCACCATCAGCAGGAAGGGGTAGATTCTCCTCTCCACCAGAGTCTGCATCTCTGCCTGCACTCCTGCAAACAGTAAAAGGAGAGAAGAAATGGCATTAAATGTGGATGATGAGATAAGAGTAGTGAAGACAGCCTGGCCTGATTTGAAGTAGCTACCTGGGTTTCTGACTAACATTATTTAGGTTGTTGTGAATAAAAAAAAGCTGAGGGAAACGTTTAAAAACAGCATGAAAATTGTTCACTAATACATCTAAAGCCCTGTTCATTTTGCTTTTCTAAATGTCCACAGCTATTGTATTTTGATTTCCTTCAGTCTTTTTCTTTCTAGATAAAACTTCAGGACTTTATAACCCATCCCATTAGGCTTCTAACTGTTTGATGGAAAAGTAAGCAAACCAATGGCTACAAACAAATTTGTCTGTGTTGCACACATTTAGACACAATGTTGATAAACAAAAACAGTTTTAGCTATTAACAGGTGTTTTTAGTTGGTTTAACATCAAAATTTCATTATTTACTATCCTCAAAAAGGCATCAATCACATGCGTCAAAGTCAAGGCCCACGGGCCAAAGGTGGCCCGCCACTGCATTTTATGTAGCCTGCGAGAGCTTCAAAGATGCATTAATGTCTTAAAATATGTGCATGCTGCTTTAAAGCCAGCATTGATCATAAACTTCATATCCTATAACACATGAAAATTATTTTACCAACAAAATGACAGCATTCCACCACCAGGTGGTGGTGCACAAGGTTCAAAGGTAGTCGGAGAAAGTTTGCCATGTTTTGCTGCAGCCCAGTTGTACCGGTTGTAAATTTAAACTGAAACACCCCCTCTAGTGGGAATTCCCTGTTGGAAAGTGGGAGAGTTCAGAATTCAAGATGGCTGCTACTTACCGCAACTCAACAGGGAAGAAAACTCTCTAACTTTTACATTTAATAGTTTATCTGTATTATTTATTTCCCATTTGGTTAGTCTTACTTTGGTACTTTAGTGTTTTGATTTTGTGTTGTGTAAATGTTTTGTTTTTGATTAAATGAAAATAATTTATACATAAAAAAAATACCTCGTAGAGCTCTGTTTTTTTTTGTTAGCGGTGCTCAGCCGTAGCAATGTGAAAAGGAACATAGTTTTTAATACAAAATGTGGAAGTTAATTACAATCAGCCATTTGAGGGAAACCCTAATGCTCTTGTGGCCCATTGGTTTTTGTATTTAGACATTTTGCTGTCTCTATAGTGGATGCACATGAGAAATACCAGTGCCCACTGTTAACAACAGCCATAAGAATTTGTAGACGAAGCCAAGTATTCAACATCTAAGTATTGCACACTTATTGTACATTTTTGTGTTTTCTTTTACCTGTTGTTGCTCAGAGAAAAGTGTAATTGAAATACAACCAGAAAGCGGGTCCTTATTAGCGAAGTCCAACAATTTTGATCGACTTAGTAAATGACTGTGTACTAGCAGAGTATTTTAAAATCTTGGAACCAGAATAATTAAAACAGAGACTTTGTTCTTTATTAGGTCACCTTTCATCCCATTCAACAAGAGATGGAAAACAGCATTAAAAGAGATTATATAAAAATTCATAAAAAACAAAAACTACTGATGTTTTTTTCACCAACTTGCAACCTGACCATTGTAAGGAAATGATAGGAGTAAGGGAAAAATAAATGTCGAACTGTGACATGTAAACATTCAGCGTGACTTACCCAGAATGGGTGTAATGCCTTTCGAGATGGTGTAGGGCACGCAGAGAGACAACAACAGGACACAGATGACGGGGGCGGCCAGACTTCGAATGATAAAATGGAGGTCGATGTTTCTGATGCCATTAGCATACACCTGCAGGAAAAAGAGACAGATTTCCTCTTCACTCCGAGGCCTGTTGAGTACTTTGGTCCTTCATAATGATAAAACAAATTTGCATTTTTGTGAATTTGGAAGAAAGGATCATCAATGTGAAGCAGACAGTTTCTTGGTGTTTTAAAAACAAATTCTTACAGATTCTGAAGGTTTTAACATTTTTAACAAAGTATCATCATCAGTCTAATCGTATCTTTGGGTTGAGTAAAAGTKGAATTAATGTAACACTGACCTGTTCAATGACTGTTTTGAGCCACCACTGAGGGCCCATTAGTGTTATGGCAGCAATGATTTTGGCATGAAGGACGCCCAAAGCCCAGTCCTACAACACGAACACAAAAACATATAAAAATCACCTAAATTATTTGTTCTGTGCTCTAATCTATGAACTCAGTTATTATGCAGAAACCAAATACACCCAATCAGTCTTTCTCCATCACAAAGTGTGCTGTATCAAATGGTCTAACTTTGAAATCTGAACTCATACGTGAAGCAATGATAAATATAAACAAAAGCTGCTGAAGCAAAAAATCAATTATAAACTAGTTTTTATTAAAAAAAACTTTTCTTTGAGCTACAAATAACCCTAGTCCGTGTGCAGCAAGCTGTAAAACAACAAAAGATAAACTTGCCATACTTCATGAAAATAAATTACATTAATGTCATTTAAACAGTTTATTTACATATAAATAAAAAGTTCTCTGCTGTGTAGGTAGTTTTATCATGCAGCTGAATTCTCCTCTGAAGGAAATACACAAATATTTTCAGCCTAGAAGTTGTTATTTATACTGAATATACAGGGTGAGTCAAAAGTCACAGGACACCCTTTTTTCCTGAAAGAAAAAGGAAATGAAAGATCTGAATACCCCAGACCGTAATGGATGAGGAGACCTATCTCTTAGGCTATGTCCAGAACAAGGCCGCCATCTTGAAAGCTGCCAAGTTGTTCCAAAGACCGGAACCCCTTACCCATTACTTGCAGGGATATTTCGATATGTTGCTTTCCCCTTTCTTTCTGAAAATAAAGGTTGTCCTGTAACTTCTGACTAACCCTGTATACAAAATTAAACTTCCAGTCAGAAGTCAGACATGAATACAGGGCCTGACATTCACTGCAGGATTGGACGTATTGTGTACTGTATAATGAATCCCCGCAAATATATACTTTTATAATGCAGGAAATCCCAGCATGAGATAAATTCCTGTAATGTGTAATAATGTGGAAATTTGCATCTATTTTCAGATGACGCCCCGGACCGTTACTGATCTTCTGATCACCTCAATCCACAGAGGCGGAGAGTGGGGGCTGAAACTCCCCACCTCTGTACCTCAGAGGGAGGTAGTGACAGAACAGGGGGCGCCAACCCGTTGATCGTGATCGACCTGTAGATTTCGAGAGTTTGCTCGTAGATCGTGACAATTTCAGGAAAATAAAATGCACCATTTGTGAAAGAAAAAAACAACCAAAAAATGGCAAAAAAAAATAAGAGCTAATCTGACTCTGCACTGTCCCACACACCACACTTCTGTATCTTGAAGATTAACCCTTTAGTGCACAGATATTCAGATGTTTACCTCCCAGAACATAGGAAAACAAATTATTTTTGCAGTTTTTGGGAGTTTTTTCTATACTTGTTTTTTCATATCTATGCAGCACATATTACATAACTGATATTTTGTATCTACAAGAGTTAGTACAATGAATAGTAAAAAAAAACAGGCGTACACGAAAAAAGCCCAAATGCCTACTCTTTATTTATTACATTTAGAAACTCTGGTGTCCTTTCCCCCTAAATCTGTAATCAAGAAATCTGTTTTCATTCTGCTCAGGAAGTGAAATTTTTTTTTATAAAAAGTGCCTCAGTCATTATGTGGTCAGACCTCATATGTGAGGATATTCAAACATACCTGCCAGGGGTAGAAGAGAGGGGTCTGGTCGAGTGGGACTCTGAGAGGAGCGACAATGACCAGCTCAAACAGCAGACCTAGCAGCAGAGGGATCACTCCGGCTAACATCATGGCTACCACAATGGTCTTGAAGATCTGTTCTCACATCATCACATACAAACAACCCAGATCCATATTACTGCTTACAACAAAGAGGGATATGCAGTTTGTGTCAAAACATTATAATTTTTTTTTCAACGCTACCATGAGCGTCCACTCGTGGACTTTGATCAGGATGACCGTCCTTCCCTGTGGCATCCAGGACAGAAGCACTGTGGCGGCTCGAATGGACAGCCAGCAGACATACAGACCGCTGGCTGCTGTGTACAGCTCGTGAACCATCACACTGCCCATCCAGAGAGACATCATCCACCGACCCACACACACTGAGGAGAACAGAAAACAGAGAGACGCACAAGCCTTTTAATGACTGCAGCCACAGGAAGAAAACACATCAGTTAACATTAGCTCGTGGCTTACCTGGCAGTGTGAGACAGATCAAACTTGCTAGTAACAGAGTCACACACATGAAGACCACCAGCAGAATGATCTAAACAAGAATTCAGACAAAACAACCGATAACACCAGCATTTAATATGATGAATTAAATCTATTTGAATCTGATTAAGTTCTCAGTTTGAAGCACCTTGAGGGAGAAGTTGTGGGGCCGGTGGTATGGCTGGAAACCCACAGGTCCACCCTGCTGCAGAATGGCTTGGTGGGCAGCATGAAGACCCTCCCTAAGACCAGGAATCCGGTTGTTGTTAAGCCGACCAGGAAGGTTATTAGGTTGGTTCTCCTCCTCCTCGTGGTCCCCCAAAAGATACGAGTGAAGGTCACTGAAGGAATTATTTTATTTTAGTGCTTTTTTTGTTAAATAACAGGATCACAAGACAAGAGAGTAAAAACAACAAAAGTGAGGGTCTTTTTGTGATTAAAAACATCATTAACATCCAGTAACTAACACTGTTGCTACATTATACCCTGTTAAATCTACGAGTGTATGTGTATGTGTACTGTATGTGCATCTGAGACATACAGCACGTATCCAGCTGTGAAGGTCCAGGCGTGGACGAGGCGTTTGAGCCACTGGCGGGTGTGGCCCTGCTCCAACAACGCCGGCAGAACGACCTGAAGCAGCAGCAGCTCCAGTGACAGCTCACTGACCGGGGCGTCACTGCAGCAACAGGACATGAAACAAACAAGAGTCACTTCGTATTCACAGCATTACTGCAGATGCTGACTTCTTTTCTGTGGCAACTCTTTTGTTTTAGTTCGGCATAAACAGGTTGTGTAATTTTTAGCTACCAGTCAGATTATATGTTGAAACTTTTGTACCTGTAAAGCATGACGTTGTAGGGGAGGAAGGTTGGGAAGAGAAGTTTAATAATCCTGATTGGAAGCCAAAGCATCAGCAGAACTATTGAACCAAAAACCACCTGGAAACAAACACACACACACACACACACACACACACACACACAAATGTAACCTTGTTATTAACTCTTAGTCAATATATTAAAAATCTTGACGCCCTATAAATTACTTAAGTTCAAGCAAATTTCAAACATTTTTTGTCATAAAAAGCTTAAAAGGTTAAGCTTTTTTAAAAAAAAACAATACAAAAAATTGATATTTATCTAAATATGCATTAAATTTTACAGAAACAGAGATGATAGTGAAAAAAAAATCCTGAGCCTGAACATTTTTACATTTATCACGGAGCATTGTTGTGCCCATTATGAAAGGGCTGTTAAACAATTTAGAAACTTCCTTGTATTTTAAAATACTTGAACATTAAAAACCACATGACTGATAATAAAACAAACTAGGAAAAAACAAAATCAACAGAATTTGTAAAAACTGTCATTTATATCTCATATTTGATAAATAAACGCATTACATTTTTCATAAAGTCTGGTTCCATATATAAAGAATTTTGCTTATTAAAACGTCCAAATGGTCTGTTTTTAATACAGTATATCTAGCTGACATTTATAATGAACTAAAAACTCCTTCACACAGGAKGTTAGAATGAAGTCATTGTGGGTTTTGGAGGAAAAAAAAAATCTAGATTTAAACAGAGACACACCTTTGCTACACTTCTGTTTAAACAAAGCTATCACTTTTAGTGTTAATATTATTTAATTCAGATAACTAAAGTAATATAAACAGCCAGTTAAAATGGATATAAGCTGCACTCCGACGCCATGGTGGCTTCTCAACATTTTGCACAGCACCTGTCTCATTTCTCTCATTGGTCGATGTTGTCCAGATCACTTCTATAAAATTCATCAGACGTTTTTACTGCCTGCTCCTCGGCTCCCATCTGCTCCTACCTTCTTCCTCGCTCCACCTGTATGCTACTGTCCAGTACTCCTGGTGGCTCATAACCGACATACTGGTTTAAATAGCCTGAACACGTTCGGAAAGTTTTGTCGCGTCTGCCAGTGAACTGTTTCCCAGGGGACACTTGTCCTCGCAGCACCGCTATGTGCGTTAGCAAGCTAATGTTATTGTTGGAGCAGCTTGTTGCAGCGGCGGGTGGCGATTTCGCTGCTTATATTGACTGACGTTAAAAAAAAACATCCCGTTTTCGCCATCGCTGAATGTAGTAAACACCTCTTCAGTGGCGTGCACGGTTAAATTAAACACGAAACGTTGTTATGGAGACGTGGAGACGCGTGGAGATTTTAGCGTGCTTCTATTGTGAAAAGCCCGGGGGAAATAGTTTGTAGTGGAAATGAGTTGACTGGTGTATAGGGTGAGTTGTCCTGTTAATCTTTATTAAAATAACATAAAACAATAAACCTGATCATAATCTTTTCTTAAACCTCCTCCTTCACGACTGGACCAAAATGCATGACTACTGTCTACAACCACCAGTCAGAGAAAAGACACAGAGGGAAACAGCGACACAGACAGAGGTACAGTAAAAGAAAAAAGTCAATAAGCGTTTGTACATTTTATTATCAGCTGACCTGTGATGAAAAGAAAAATACCGCGATATACCGTGAAACAGGTGTAAATGTTGAAAATACTGTGATATAAAATTTTGGTCATACCGCCCAGCACTACTGTCCAGCTAACTTTAGCATCCACTGTGCGGCTGCCTCATCTTTCTCAGGTGGAAGAATCAGTAAACATCTTTCTGCAGTTATCGTCTCTGACAGCTGGCTTCAAAAAACCTGCCAGCTTCGATATGATCTCCGGTTCTTTTCCAGACTTGCTCTGACAAAAATAAATTGAGCACTGCTCCAACTTCTGCTGGTTTTGTCGTGATCCAAGTCCACACCTGATTTCTGATTAGCTAGCAGGCCTGAGACGCCGACTCCCTATTAATTGTTGCTACACGAGAAAAAAATATGCTTTTGTGTAAAAGTTTTTCTTTAAAGAAAAGATACGATGTTAAAACTAGATATGGAGATAGTAAAGCTTAGTTATTTTTTTTATTTATTTTGACACAATGAAGTGGGAGGAGTTTGGACTCACCACTGACAGTATAAACCTCCTGAGGTGTCGGTAGATAGGCAGGTGGATCATCTCCTGCACTGGGTTGAAGTCTGGATCGTTCAGGTTCCTCAAAAACCACAGAACGCCTGGTCGAAGAACCTGCACACACACAAACGTTAAAGCTAAGGGGAAAAAAAGCTGAAGGTTTTGAGCTACATATTTTATAGGTTTTTATATGTCACGACACTCATCTGTGACTTTTGATTTACCTCTCGAAGCAGAAGGATGAAGGAAGCAAAGTAAAATACGTAGACCATGCCAACCAGCCAGTGAAGGAACATGGTGGTGCCAGGAGCCGAGTCAAAACTTTGTAGCCGGTCTTTAAGGGTCGCGTCAAACATTTCCTGCAATAAATTAAAGGACAGGTATTTTCATATTATTACTAAAATGAACATGTTTATAAAAGCTGGTGCCCTTAKTGTAAAATCTGAGGATGTTTTTCCTTCCTAATTGTCAGAGTTGTAAAGTAACTAAGTACAAATACTTTGTTACTCTACTTAAGTAGAATTTTTGGGTATCTGTACTTTA